CAAAACTTCAGTCACATCTTCAGGCTACACTTCACGTTCTTTTGCTTTTTCTACCATATTTACAGTGACTTCCTCCACTGAAGTTTTTATACCCTTCAATGTCATCCATGAGGGTTGAAATCAACTTCTTCCAAACTCCTGTTAATGTTGAGATTTTGACCTCCTCCCATGAATCACAAATGTTCTTAATGGCATCTAGAATGGTGAATCCTTTCCAGAAGGTTTTCACTTGACTTTGCTAGATTCTTCAAAGGAATCACTATCTATAACAGCTATAGCCTTACAACATGTGTTTCTTAACAATAAGACTTAAAAGTCAAAATTACTCCTTGATCCATGGGCTGCAGAATGGATATTGTGTTAGCAGGCATGAAAACAACATGAATCTCTTTGTACATCTCCATCAGAGCTCATGGGTGACCAGGTGTATTGTCAATTAATAGTAGCATTTTAAAAGGAATCTTTATTCCTGAGCAGTTATCAAAAATGGGCTTAAAATACTCAGTAAACCATGCTGTAAACAGATTTGCTCTATTGTTCCATTGATAGAGCACAGGTAGAGGAGATTTAGCATCATTTAGCCCTAGGATTTTCATAATAATGAATGAGCATTGGCGTCAATTTAAAGTCACCAGAAACATTAGCCCCTATCAGCTTGTCCTCTGAACCTTTGAAGCCAGGCATTGACTTCTGCTTTCTAGCTATGAAAGTCCTAGGTGGCATCTTCTCCCAATAGAAGGCCGTTTCATATATGTTGGAAATCTGTTGTTTAATGTAACCACCTTCATCAATGATCTTAGCTAGATCTTCTAGATACCTTGATGCAGCTTCTCCATCAGCACTTGCTGCTTCACCTTGCACTTTTATGTTGTGAATTTGGCTTCTTTCCTTAAACCTCACAAAGCAACTTCTGCTAGCTTCAAACTGTTTTTTCTGCAGCTTTTTCACCTCTCAGCTTCATAGAATTGAAGAGAGTTAGAGCCTTGCTCTGGATTAGGCTTTGGCTTAAGGGAAAGTTGTGGCTGGTTTGATCTTCTATCCAGACCACTAAACCTTTCTCTTTATCAACAATGTTTCACTTTCTTATCATTTGTATGTTCACTGGAGTAGCACTTTTAATTTCCTTCAAGAACTTTTCCTTTGCATTCACAACTTGGCTGTTTGGTGCAAGAGTTATAGCTTTCAGCCTGTCTCAGCTTTCAACATGCCTTCCTCATGAAGCTTCATCATTTCTAGCTTTTGATTTAAAGTGAGAGATGTGTGTCTCTTCCTTTCACTTGAACATTTAGAAGCCATTGTAGGATTATTAATTGGCCTAATTTCAATATTATTGTGTCTCAGGGAATAGGGAGGCCTGAGGAGAGGAAGAGAGACAGAGGAATGACCAGCCAGTGGAGTAGAACACACACAACATTTATAGATTAAATTTGCTATCTTGTATGGGTGTGGTTTGTGGTGCCTCAAAACAATTGCAAAAGCTACATCATTGATCATAGATCACTATAACAGATATAATAATAATTTAAAAGTTTGCAATATTACAAGATTACCAAAATATGACACAGAGACACTAAGTGAGCGCATGCTGTTGGAAAAATGGCACTGATGGACTTGCTTGATGCATGGTTACCACAAATTTTCAATTTGTAAAAAGAAAGAATATCTGCAAAGCACAATAAATTGCAATAAAACAAGATATGTCTGTATAATATTTTCAAGTTCCATCCCTGTTGCAGCATGTATCAGTACTTTTTTATTGTCAAATAATTATTCATTGTATGGATATATACCTCATTTTATTTATTTGTTCATCAATTGCTAGACATTGGGTTGTTTCCACTTTTTGGCTATTAAGAATAATACTGCTATGAACGTTCATGTACAAGTTTCTGTGTGCACATGTTTTGATTCTTCCTGGGTATATACCTAGGAGTGGAATTGCTGGATCATGTTGCTATCTCTATTTATCATTTTGAGGACCTGCCAGATAGTTTTCCGAAGTGGCTACATCATTTTACATTCCTACCAGCAGTGCATGCAGGTTCCAATTTTTCCATGTCCTCAAAAACATTTGTTTACCCTATGGGGTGAAAGTAGTATCTGATTTTGTTTTTGATTTCCACTGAGAAACTTTTTAAAACTTAACAGATTAGCAAAAATGAAATAGGTTTACAAAACCCTATCTTGACAAGGCTTTGAGAAGACAAACTTACTGAGGATATAGGTGAGTACACATTTTATGGACGACAGTTCAGTATATTATAGTATGAAATGTATTTAATCTCTGACCAGATATCCCATTCTAGGTATTTGACCTAAGGAGAAAACCATATGTTGGGAAAAGATATGTCTTCATTGTACCACTATTTATAATCTCATAATATACAAAACTTTGAAACTAACTTAAATGTCTATCAAGAGGAAACTGGTTAAACGAATTCTAGGTAATCATTACAAATAATGATGCAGGTAGAGTATATTTTTATTGTCATTTGAACCTGTCTATCATATATTGAGTGAGGCAAAATCAGATTATTGAATATCTGCATGTAAAAATCCCATTTGTGTAAAATATCTTTATACCTGGAAAGATTTTGTAGAATGAGGTCTAAAATATTAACAGTGATTATATGCTAGTGGTGGAATTTTAGGTGATTTTCTTACTTTGTTCTTTGTCTTTTTTGTATTTAATTTTGTTAAAAATCAGCTGTTAGCCTTTATAATTTTTTGAGAAAATTATAAAACTATTTCAAAAGACTATGCACTTTAGAAGTTACATTTTTGTACTTAATCAAGGCTTAAATTTTAGTTAAATACTCTTTCCCTATCATTATTTTTTTAAAACCTCAAAACCATCTACTAAAGGCATAAAAAATTCATTATTGTGGTGATTATATCCACTTGGTGTAGAACACTGATTTAGGCTCTTCCTTCAAAGAATTTTATTATGTACTTTGGTCTTCATGGAGTTCTTTTTATGTGGAGATATGCCAGGTATATGGACTTTAGGGTCATGCCAAAGCTCAGGTCAAAATGGTTCTCCATCTCTTCTGGTTATTGGGATAATTATTCTGAGTTCACATATTCTGTCTTCCACTCTTCTGCCCCCTTTTCCAGGAGAATAATATTAACAACAACTTTCTTTTTTTTTGAATTGATTATGAGTTAGGAACTATTCTGAACACATTCCATATATTTCATTCATTTAATCCTCATGACAGTCCCATAAGGTTGACACTACAGAAAATGATATTTTAAAGATTTTGAGCCTGAGACACAGGTTAAGTAACCTGTCCAAGGTCACTCAGCTAGGGAATGGCAGAGCTGGGACTAGAGTCCAGTGAGTTTGGTTCCAAAGTACCTATGATCCTAACTGCTATACTCCACTGTCTCTCTGACTTTCCTTCCTATATATGACTCCAAACACTTCTTGCTGACTTTGCTTCTTCCTATCAGAAATGTCAGAGAGGCTGAGGTGTAGTGTATACCTGCAGCAAATGCTCTATAGGGTCAACTCTTTGCTGTTCATATCTTTACCCATTGAATCTCTTAGGATTTTACTTAACATTTCTTTAACATCCTTTTCTCTGAAATGTTTGGATTTCTTACTCCTTGAAGTTGGAGATTCATCTGGGGAAAAAATTAAGCCTTCTTTATATGTTTCAACTTTGCATCAAGACCCATCAGCAGAGTGCTTGGTGTTGAGTCAGAACATTTCCTGCTCTTTCCCAGGACTGCTGGATGCCGGGTTCCCTGCCTGATCTTTAGGTCTGATCCTTGGGGAAAATATAATTTGTATAATGTTATAGTTTATTCTGATCATAAAAATAATACATAGCCAGGCGGCACAGTGGTTCAAACCTGTAATCCCAATACTTTGGGAGGCTGAGGCACAAGATCATTTGGGACCAGGAATTTGAGACCAGCCTGGGCAACATAGTGAGATCCCATCTCTACAAAATATTTTTTTTAATTAGCCAGGCATGGTGGGGTACATCTGTAGTCCCAGCTGATGGTAGAGGTGGGGGATGGGGAAGACTGAGGCAGGAGGATCGGATTGCTTGAGCCCGGGAGTTGGAGGTTGCAGTAAGCTATGATCACACCACTAGACTCCAGCCTAGGCAAACAGAGTGAGACCCTTTCTGTAAAAAATTAAAAAAACAAACAAACAAGAGTAATACATACTTATTGTAAAAAATGTGGAAAATACAAAAAATATAAAGAAAAAATTAAAAGCACTTGTAGTCCTACCATCCTGTGATAACCACCAAAAAATATGATTTCCAAGCATGTTTATCTTCTCTTTAAGGAATTCATATCCATTCTTGAAGACTAAGTCTTCTAAATAAATGATTTACAGATGATAATTTTAGAAAGTATCCATCCATGCAAATTAATGGGTAGGATTATTATTAAATTTAAAGATATGCCAAAGTTGGTAAAATTAAAATTTCTTAATTTTATATTCCAGTTTGATTTTTTAATTGAAGAAAGGAAATAATTATACATATTTTAAAACATTAGTATAAAATCAAACAAAAGGTATAATGACCTCAGTGATTTCATTTGCTCCTATAAGTAATGTTTCCATTTATTTTTACCTAACATGAGCAGCATATATAATAGGTCTTCAACTGATGCTTATTAATCACATGGGAATAAGATTAAGATCTACCTGAAATACCATCAATATTTAACTTTTGATATTTGCAATCTTGGTTGTTATTGTTTTTGCTACCTTGTTGTGATTGAAACTTAGTAAAATTTATTTAAGATATTTTACTGTTATCCTGGGAAAAGGGGTTATAAACATCACCATTATAAAAACAACAACAGCAGCAGCAGCAACAAAAACTCATGTGGTATGACATATTATAAGTAATAACTATGTTAAGTTTGATTCAAGTTGAAATAGCTTATACTGAACATTATTTTTTAAAAGTTGTTTCTTGGGAGAATAACTTCTATAATCAAAAAGTCTATCCTCTTGTGTTTTCTAGGCATCTGGCCATCTGAAGAGGTTTTGGCTTACTACTGCCTCAAGCACAGTAGTATGTTCAGGTACAGAGTTGCACCTAAAACATATTTTTATTCCATCATGGATATTGAATCTGCATATTAAAAATTGCCATGTTTAGATTCTTTAAATTAAATGGAAAGAAAGAAAGAAAGAAAGAAAGAAAGAAAGAGAAGAGAAAAAGAAAGAAAGAAAGAAAGAAAGAAAGAAAGAAAGAAAGAAAGAAAGAAAGAAAGAAAGAAAGAAAGAAAGAAAAGGAAAGAGAAAAGGAAAACAGAAAGAAAGGGAAAGAAGTTCACAGTGAACACATGTTGCTTCTGAAAAGAAATCTGAATTGCCTTTGGGTACTAATATAGCACAGCAAGCTTTTTGCTATATGTCAAAGGCTTTTGATTTCCACTCAAGGCATTTTATTTCACTTTGATTTTGGGGAAACAAAAGTGAAGCTCCAATCAATCCTTACTGATTGTGAGGGTTAAAAAAAACAATAAAGACATTCTTTCAACTTCTGCTAGGGAAGTCACTACAGAATATTTGATAAATAAATACCTCACAGCTATTATTTAAAGATGTCATCACACCCCTGGTTTTAAAGGTATTTTTATACACTTAACAATATGTATTTGTGAAATAGAAATTACTATTACAGATTCATGCTACGGAAATAAATGTTTTCAACTGTTAGTGTGTATTATAGATCAAATCCATGTGTGAGATTTAAGAAAAAGAAAAATACTCGTTTTATTTGTAAATTCTACAAACGTTTGGTAGACCCAGAAAAAAATAGGCTTTTCATTTTAATTCTCATTTTATAAAGGTCATCCAATATATGCTTCCTGAACAGCACATTATGATTCCAGATAAGCCATTAGTGATCATGGTGTGTGTTTTAACAATATGTACTTACAAGATTGGGTCAATAATATGTATTTTTTGAAACTCTGGGGTCCTTATTTACCAACCAGTCTACAATTGCTTTGAATAACTAAATGCTCATTAAGTGTATTTCAAAATATGGATGTCTTTGCTTGGCTGCTTCTTTTCTCCTAGCCACTCTTCCCACCTCTCCTTCCTGTTTAATTTTGCTTTTTTTTTTCTCCTCTTGATGTAATAAACTTCCCGAACTGGGAAGAAGAAACAATCTTAAGACACTAAGCATATAAAATAAGTACGGGGCAATTTTGATTTTGAGCTGCAGAGCTGCCCTGGAAGTCTGGCATTTGCTCATCTCGCTGTGCTTAAGCTTGACTGGAGCTCCAATCAGCGAGCCGTGGGCCAGGGTGAGAGTGTCACACGTTGAGGGCTGATATTTAGGCACAAAGGGGAAGGTAAGTGCAGAGTGCCACACTAGACTGTCAGCTTTAACTCTGAGCTGCTTTCCTTTTGAGCAGTAAAGTCAGAGCCCAGTCATTACTTTAGCCCGAGTTTGCTGGCTTACCCATATTATATCCCTGCATTGTTTACTCACTATGTAGTGTTGGGGTCATTTGTGATTTAAGTGTTAATTGCTAAATGCTCTTTGTGTAATTGTTCTTTATGGGGGCGGTTCAGCTTTCCAACATGTTTCCGTTTGTTTTAGAATTTTTTTAAAAAATTCAGGATTGCATTTATTTGTGTGTGTGTGTATGTGTTGTGTGTGTGACCATAATATAGGTATATACACACTCATATATATTCTTCATTTACTTGTCTAACTGTTTTTGAAGGAATGAATGTGGATTAACAGTGTTATCCTTTCCTAACAATTATCTTTCGCTACTCTAGCTAGTTTAGTTCTAAAAGACAGCGCCATTGACAAGGGAAAAAAAGGGAACCTTCTCAGATTTTTCAGCTCAGCGGTGGTAATGTTGCAGTGAACACTAATGAGGGAACCCCCACTGATTTGCCTGCTTTGTGACTTTTCTATTTCATAATTATTTTTAAAACGCAAAACGACATGCGGTAGCGTAGTCATGTCTCTACAACTTCCTGGTAGCGCCGTTCTTACTGCAGATGGCAATTTGTTCTTGTAACATATATATCTCTCTGACCATTTTCATCTAATTTGTATGGGTTCTACCATTTCTTTTCTCTCTTTCAGGGACCTTGCTGTGTGTGAGCTAGGGGGTGGCATGACATGCTTGGCTGGGCTCATGGTAGGTCTTTTCTCAATTCCAATCCCATTCAGAGGGAGGAACAAAAGGAAAAATGTTCCAGGGCCTCCAACTGCTGGGTCAGAGAACCGTCAACAGCATCAGCTGCGGTCAAGCTGCTGGGTCTTGAGAGACCTTCTAGATTGACTTACTTTCGGATCATATTGATTTTATGGTTGCCTCGATGAGCAGAAACATTTTACCTCAGTGTAGTCAATATCGCTTGTTGTGACATTCCAGGCCTCGCACAGTCTTTCTTTGCCATAGTGAAAGCATTTTTTTTTTCAGATTATAGTCCCATTTGCTAAGATACAGGAATAGCCCGGCGAATCACAGTTGGAGCACCATGATATAGCTGCTAATGTTTTGCCTGCATTATTACACCAACAAACATGATCCAGAGCGCTCAGTAATTAGATTCTTTTGAATTAGATTGGCCATTCAGGAACGTCGTTCCCCATTCTCTGGGTTCTGAGTCATGTATTCAGGAGATATTATGTAGCAGCACAGTGCATTAGACAAGTTTTTATGTCTCTACAAATAAAAGCATATTGTTACACTGATTGGCATTTGACAAACCTGTCGCTCTTATACAATGTGTCGAGGTTACAGCCCAATGTGCGAGCATGTCAAAGCTCACAAAAAAATTACCCTCACAAAGCCATCTGCCTGCAATGCAAAGTTATATGAAGGGCATCAGGCAGTCAGACAGAAGCAAGCTGAAAGGCAGAGTGACAGCCTTGTATGATGGCTCTACTAGATAAACAGAAGCCCACAAATGAAAGCCTCTCAGAATACCATCATCCGCTGTCACAATGCAATTACCGAACAGAATGATAGCAAGATAGAGGCTCCCGCAAATGGAATGATAAAAGTATTGACTGATTTGATTGAATGATTAAAATAATGCAGACATAAAATGAAAAAAGATTGAAGATTGTTACAGAGAAATAGGTGAGGAAGCATGATACTGAAGGCTTGTCACTCCTGTCTTCACTTCCACACAGACAAGCATATTTGCTCATTGTTTGCTGTGCTCCCTTTTTTTTCAGGTTGCTATTTCTGCAGATGTCAAAGAAGTTCTGTTAACTGATGGGAATGAAAAGGCCATCAGAAGTATCCTTATTCTGATAGAAAACGGGTTTGTTGTGCTCATTCCTTTTTCCCCGGCTGAGTAACAATTGGTATAAAGACAGCCAGCATGGGGCATTAAAAGAGAGTTTCCCCCCCACATACACATGATAAGTAATTAAGAAAAAGTAGAAATATATGAATTCATTGTGTTCTGCTACATGTTTTTCTTTCCTTTCGATAGATTTTTATAAACACTACTCATTCAAAGAGCCTATGTTTTGTGGACCTCTCAAGGCAATAAGAAAATTTGTTTCATAATAATTTTCAAGCATTCTTGCTCTTTTATTTCCATGGAAATTTGACAGCATAAAATAAATTATTTGGTAGTTATTGGATTGGATTGGATGTTGCTTATAAATATTAACTTCCAGCTTCATGTGTGTTATTTCCTTTTATGCCTTTGACATTGTATGTACCGTGTGATATTGTACCTACTCTCATTTGCCAGGAGTTACCTATGTCCCCCACTGGACACAGCTATCAGTTCTTCCTTTTATTTAGGATTACAAAAGCTATCTCTTTTTTTCTGCTGTACGATTACAGTTCAAACTCCATTATATTTAGATTATGCTTTACTAATATGTACACAGAGTTCATGAAAATTGAACTGCACTTTAACTAAGAAAGCAAGCATAATTTGTGGCTACTTTAGCAGTTGAGCTGATTTGTTCAGTGGCAGTTAACAGCTGTTAGGAACTGAGAGGAAAAGTAGACGATATGTTTGCTTTGAATCTTTTTGGTGTGCCTTACATTGACATTATAGGAGACAGTCTACTTATTTGAATTTTAAGCCCCTAAAATGCCAAAGCAATTTTGATTTTTGTGGCATCTTACATAAAACCTATTTTCAATTTTCTTTTTCTCCATCTGCTATGTAATTTTTTTGAAAATAAAATTTGCAGCAGCTCCATCAGGCTGCTCGCACAGGAGAAAGGAGGTACCAGACACACAGTAGCTAATATTGTTCAGCAGCACTTGTGTGCTCTACAGAGCCCCACCCAGCTAATTGCCTGACAGACATTAAAAAAAAAATTCAGGAAGAAAAAACAGCCAATCACAATCTTGGCCTTTCACACAAGGGAAAGAGATCACAAAAGGTGCTTCCTTTTTTAAAATGCAGGATTTTAATCATGATCTTGAGACTGTCGCAAATTTTTCAAAATATTCCTGAAGCTGAGCTGATGTTGTTTCATTCATTCTGCTTTATTCTGAGTTATTCCGTGCATGTATCATTTCCCTGCGCTCCTCCTCTTTATGTCAGAGCATACAGACAGCAAGAGGAAGCTCAGGTATGCTAGCTCAGCCCCACTGGATGTTTTTTTTTTTGGGGGGGGGGCGGAGAAGAGGAGCAGGATTAGTGGACAAGAGGAGGTTATTTTAGCCACAGAAACTTTCAGATTGGGCCTAGTAACCTGAGGTTTCTCTTAAGTCAGCAGGTGTCTCATTTTAATAGCATCAGAAAACAATTAGAACTTTTATCAAACTATGGGAAACATCTGTGGTCATATGTAAATTTAATCGTACTAAATTTATTATTGAGCTAAACTACAGAGCTTCCAAAGAAGGGAGGCAATGCTAATGTCATTAATTAATGCACCTTTGCTTTAAACAGCAAAGATGCCATTCCAGCTCCTGAAATCAGAGAGGAAATCTCAGATTCTGTATTCATTCTGCCGGCCTTTCAAAGAAATGATTGGTACAGCCCCCTCCCAAGAAAATGGATTTTTAACATTTGGTCCTCAGAAGCTCAGCCCTGAGAGTGCTTTATTGTGCTAGGTTTTACAATGGGTTTAATATAGCAGGGTGCCAAAGGGCAGGAGGGGAAGAACTTTACAATGTAGATAAAGTAGGTCCTTTCAGGATGCAGACCAAAACTGGTAGTGTGTTTTATTTCATCTCTTAGGACTTTCCTGATAGAGTTCAGTTATTATCATGCAGTTGTTCTATGTTTGTGTGCCTTTTTCTGTTGTAACTAGATCTAATTTTTTTTAATTAAGAGAAAAAAGCATGCATAAAGCCTTAAAATTGGCAATGTGTTTTTCCTGCTTTTAATACTAATGTTATTCTTGATTTGCTAACAGTGCTTACAATTGGCATTCGTTGTAATCTGTTTTACTGACTGAGGTTAATATGAATGAATTTTTTTTCTATTTGTGTGCCCACTTTCTGTAAGAATAAGTAATTCACTGAATCACATACTATTGATGCATATAGATCGAAACAAACTCATTTAAAAATTACTGTTTACAGCTTTCTTTTAAAATTTTAGGAAGCCTAAATTATATAGCAGTTGTAGGATATTAATCAAAAATTACTTTCTAAAAAGTAAAAGTGGATGTCAACAAAAAAAGGGGGAGAAACATTGCCAGAAGCCAGAAAATCTCTAAGCAAAGCTGCTAATTATTCTTAATGGGCAAGATGAGCACATTAAGAAACAAATGAATACATCAGCGAAATGTAATTGAAAATCGACCTGGCAATGGCACATCACATCTGAGTATTGGCCTGTACATTATTCTCATCATTTTAAAAATTATTTTTGTTGTTCTTGTCTTCTGAATTTAATGAACCCAACTGAGTCTTCTTAGTCTCTTAAGCTTCTAAGCTTCTGATTTTTACCTTTTAAAAAAAATAGCATTTTCTGATATTTCATTTTAATTTTCTATTATTTCTTTTTTTAATATGTGAGGCAATGAATGAATTAGTTCTGAATCTTTATATCACAGAAGCATGTAAACCAGTTGTGAGGTTATTTATTATCTCCTTAAAATGTATCAAATGGATTGCTTATGTCTTCTCAAATTCTCTACTTTGGAAAGCTAGATGTTGATCTAAGATTTATTAAACAGAGATATCTGTAAAGAGATTAAGACTTGAGATAGAAATGAATTTTGTAAGTCCTGAATATTTTCTCAGACTCATGGGTAGTTTCCTCTAAGGTTTTCCTTGGTCCTTAAACTGCATTTCTGAGTCTAACCCAGAGCCTGCTTCCTGAGGGCCACATCTCCCTAGAAATGGCATTTTGTCTGTACCCCAAGAGACAAAAGATAAATTAGAAATAGGGTCATTTGGTCCATCCAGTTCTCAAATTTATTCTCAAATACTGTGAAATATGATCCTTTTTCTTTGACACTGCCCTTTTAGTGTAGTAAAGAAAGAAATCTGCAACCGCCCACATATATAATAATAATTATTCAATAAGGTTTGTAGCTGGTGATGACAATGACATAAGAATAAGGGAGAGAAGTAGTATACTGAGTTATTATTGATGCTAAGCTGCTTCCAATTATATTGAAGAAAATTAGAACTCCTAAAGGCGAACAATCCTCTCTGGCTACAATCACTAATTTACCCAGCACAAGCACCCTGCCTTGACTCATCGTTAGTAGACATCTAACATGTTCTCTGCAGAGTATTCCAATGCTTGGTGATCCATTTCTCAGTGCCCTTGACCCAAGCATCTTATCCCCACAGTATGCATGGTCTGGCTCATGATCTTGAGCTTAGGATTCTCCCCAAATTTTGGTAAATCTCCTGTGCTTTTTAAAAGAGCTATCTCTGGTTTAGCAATACATTTATTTAACAGAGTCCCTGACTTGATTAATTAATAAATGAAGTTTCATTTGGACCCTGCAGCCTGTGCTGTGGATGGCTGACACCTTGGGAATCTCAGACCATCTTCCTGTGCCCAGGCCCTTTCCTCCAATATCTATGCCGACTGTGCTTCCATCTACAGGATGAGTCATAAGGGAACCCTGTGTGCCTTGTAATGGGTAGGAGCTCAAGAAATATCTTTTAAAATTAAGTTAAAATCAATTAAACTAGTGTCAATGATATGAGATTCCAGATGCTAAAGATACAATAGTGAACAAGACAGACCTCATCTCTGTCCTTGTGGGACATAGATTTTGCCTTGGCTAGAACACATTTATACATGTGAAAGACACTGAAAAAACTACAGGGCAGAAGTTCTTTGATTCCTTCTAGCTATTTAAATTCCACAATATAAATTAGTTCTGAACAGCCCAGAAAGAAAATAAAGCTTAACTGCCAGACCTCATTTTAGTTGCTATCACCAGCCTCTTCATCCCACCAAAGCTTTTTGGCCTGAATTATTAACAAAAGGTAATGAATTGACATGAATCAGGCACCTACTATGTGTCAGGCCCATCATTTGTCATAGTGCAATAAGCCTGTACACTAAGTATCATAATTCCTGTTTTAGAGAAACAGGAGCTCAGGGAGGTTAATTTATCCAAGGACACATAGCTACCAAGTATCAGAACCAGCCCTAGAAGCCAAGTTCATCCAACTTCAAAGCTTATGTTTTTTCCTATTAAACCATTCTGTTTCACCAAAAGCTAAAATGATTTGGTGGATGTCATCTTGCATTTCCTCAGTACCCCCAGGAATAAAAGCTCTCATCCACAAATGTAAGAGTTGGCATTGCTAATAGAGCGTTGGTACTACCTCTATGTCATCCTCTCAATTCATTTGAGTAATAAGCACATGTAAGAATATTTTGCAGGTTTAAATTAGCAAATATTGTCACATCAAGCATTTTTTAAAAAACCTTTAGAGATCAAAATGAATAAGATTTATATTATAATTTCATAATTTCCTACCCTCATTTTTGTTGCTGCAATGAAGACAATGTAAACCAAGAAAGTAGTGCTTTGTGAATCATACAGTTATTATTTTGTAAATATTTTCTTGCATAAAGAACAATGCCAACTCTCAAAATGTATATGCAGCTATTGATAAATATAATGATCACTAATTGCAGGAGGAGGCTAATATTTTAAACAGTATATTATATACATATATAATTTATTTAAATTATTATATAAAAATACATTTTTTAAGAATAAAAATCAACTGAGACAAAATTGAAATGCAATGCCACTCCTGAACTGTGCTTTATTTGAGAAGAAAATCTAGAGATTGAATTCTGGTTTCCTTTTAGCCACAAGCATGTATCCGGTAGCTCTGGAAGTCCAGTTGCCCAGATTGGAGATGAGTGCTCTGTATTCATTTAATCAGAAATCACATTAAGGCTCTCCTTGCACCCATCCCCTCCCACAGAAGTCTTCCAGGAGGTGGGTGCAGTTCAGAGAATACAATTTGGTCTTCCATGTTGAACACTATCCTGGACATATTGACTCAATTTGATTGGATTTCCTTTATTACCCTGAGGTGACACAGAAGTATGATAAAATCTATTATTAGACACAGTGCCATCCAGAAGAACCATCAAAATCTGACCTAAAGTAAAGGGTGGGGAGCAGGATATCAGAATTTATCTCTTAAGGTAATATTTAATAATACTATTGCCATTTTTTTCTCTTTGTACTTGTTTTAATATTAAAAAACCCTCCTAGACCACAAAGTATATTTCCTGCCCAGTTCTAAAAATAAAGCAGCCTAAATACTGCTGTGAATTTTTTTTATTAAAAAACATTGCTTCTAGAATATAAATACATATGCTTGCTTCAGCCTGACCACCCGGAGTCACAGGTTTATAAATTGTATAAAAGTATATAGTGTTAAGATGTTTACTAAAAATTATTAATAGACTTTCTGAGTTATATAATTTAACTTCCTTGCAACTATTTTATAAAAAGTATTACCTCCACTAACAAAATAATATGTTTTGCTTGATAGATTAGTCATGTACTCACACGACGCTACAGGTGTAGCCGGCACATTATGGCATGCGGTTGGATGCCATGGAAACCCTGAGTAGGGTGTGGCCAGAGTGTGGGGGAACTTAATCAAAAACAGTTGTCAGTTGACTCTTTACTAATTTTGTTCTTCTCAGAATAAAGATGTCAGCTGTCCTGTTCTGCAAGACATTTCATTTAGAAGACTTTCCTGAAATACTTTCTTCCTGAAATAGACAGAACTGTAGGCCGATGTGTCATTTTAGTTAATCAAAACAAGTAGGCAAATTAGTCTCTTTTATTTTTTTAATGAATGTAATTTAACGGTATTTAATTTGCATACAGGAAAGTTCACCCAGGAAAAAAAAAGTCTGCATTATAGCACTTTTGTAAACCTCAACAAAGCCCTTCATTAGGAGACCTAATTGATTTTCCTACCCACTCCCGGGGGGAAGAAAGCTATCGCAGTACCTGCTTATTCACTCGGGGAAGAAATGGGTGTGCCTGGCAGTTCAAGCAGAGATTTGGGTTAAAAAGTCCTGTGGCTCTGTTCTTGCAGGGAGATCTTGGCCAAGGCTTGCTTTGAGCACTCAGGAAATCTGTTTTTCTGAGCAATAGGAGAGTGTCGCTTGTCTGCTTGGTGTCCTCCCCATGGGCCCAATTTAGTTCAGCTTGCAGCCATCTCTGGAATTATTTTATTTCTTGTTTATTTAAACCTGCCTTATTCCAAAAGAAGGATTTTGAGGCTTCTTACGGTGACACATAGAATATATCATATAAAATAAATGAGAAAGTGAGGGCGATTGGAAATTAGAATGTCAGGAAAATATGATGAAGCCATGAATGGACTTCAGTACAGAAAATATATGCCACAGGAGCTCTTGTGGTTGTTAGAATTAGGTTGTTCGTTCTCTCTGAGTTGCACAGGGGCCAGCGCAAAGAGAGAAAGAGGGACGGCTGTATGATTTATAGTGTCCTGGAGTTGAAGCAATGTCAATTGATCTTCAGTCCACCTTGTTCTAATGTTGAAACCTGATGGTTTTTCCCATGGGCCATTGTAAAGATGGCAGTATGTGATGTGATGAACCAGCTCCTCAAAATATCTCTTCCATAATTATGGCTCTTTCGTACAAGTCCTTACCTCCCAGCAGATGGCCAAAGGCCAATGGCCAAAGGATAAGTCTGTAAAGACAGTTCTTCAGGAGACCTTTCACTGGACTGACTTTCTTCTTCAGTAATTTATTTTCTCTCAAAGATTCTCCAAGCTTGTCTCCATCTTTTTCTTCTCACTTCTTCCCAAGTCTCTCCCTGCTGCTCATCCCACTCTCCCTACTAGCATTTAGGATGCTGGAAACATTTCATCTTGGAAAGTCTCAGAACCCTGACATGGCCCTCCCCACTGACTGAAAGAGGCTTGCCTTTGGATTCCTTGCACTTTTGAGCAAGTGGAGCACGGCACCTGTGGAACAGCCATTCCCTACCAGCACCCATAACTCTGGGCCTTGCCATGATGCTGCCTGCATGTACGTTTCACAGGTGACAAATCTACAGCCCAGGGAATTCAAAGAGCTTGCTCATGGCAAGTCAGCATTCAGTGGTAGAGCCAGGGCTATACCCTTCTCCTGCCTCACACCCTACAGCTCTTTTCACTGTGCTGATCCCATGTAAAATAAAATGAATCACTGTGTTTGTGGGCCTTTTATTTTTTGAGTCAGGTGACAATTGCTGCAGAAGCTTTCTTAACTGTGTCCTATAGATGTGAGAGACATCATCGCAAGGAATCAGAAGGCTGGTGTGTTTAAGACTCAGAAAATATCAAGCTGGTAAGATACCTTTCTGCATTAAAACACTCTGGTTGAAACTGCTTTTCTCGATACTATGGGTGATTATTAACAACAATGATGGCTAACATTTATTGAGCACTTACTGTGTGTCGGGCGCTGTTTTAAGTACTTTACAAGTATTATTTCATTCAATACTCACATCTCATTATCTCCAATTAACAGATGAGAACAAAAGATAAATATATTAAACACTGGGCTGGGAATGATTTAAGGGTTGAGATTATACAATGTAAGGTTGACAGAAGCCCAGACTGAGAACTCCTTAAATGGCTCTATTCCAGTGGCTCTCAACCTATGGGCAGTCTTGCCCACCAGGGAAATTTTGGCATTCTCTGGAGACATTTTTTATTGTCATGACTTGGTGGGAGGAGAGGAAGTGTTGCTACTGGCACCCAGTGGTAGAGGCCAGGTTCTCCACTAAGCATCCTACAGTGTACAGAGCAGCCCCCCGCAACCAAGAAGTACCTGGCCTCAAATGCCAATAGTGCCAAGACTCAGAAAGCCTGCTCTAGTCGATGATTTTAAGATAGTCTAGGTGTCCATTCTCTTTTAGATTCTGTTAATTCTTATCCAAACTAGGAGAAATGTTTGCCCTGAACCAAAACAATGGTATATTCTGTGATGCTATATTTTATTTTTGCCCTGTAGGTAATGGACCTATAGGAATGAATAATCATTTAGTAGTTTTCACATGAAACCTCTGTATTTGTGGATTTTTCTCATGCATTTAACCACAGACTTTATTCGAACAATTCTATTTTTAATTAATTATTCTATTTATTACTGTTAATCTGCCATCCATTGGTATTTCGAGGACACTCTCCCACCCGAGCTGCCCAGTTTGATTAAAGAAAAAAAAAAAGTGGCCAAGTAATGATTTATTACAATGCTTAAAAACCTAAGTGGTTGACATGTTGGTGTGAGAGCTATGGAGTAGCAATAATTTTTTCTGTTATATTAGTTGGTGAATGTAATGAAGTATCCGTATATATGTTTTAAATCCTGCATTAGAATATTCAAAGTAGGCCGATGGCACGGGGGCAGCACGAGTACAGCTTCCCAGAGAACCCTGGGTGGGTTCAGAGAAAGAGAAAAGTGTGCTATTACCTGTGTGCTCTTCATTCTCAGGGCACTTTCCTACACAGTACAGAGAGCCATACTCTTCTGGAGAGGGCTTCGTTTTCGGACATGATTTTCAACCTGGTCTTTTAGTTATCAATCAAAAGCACATTTTCTATGTCATCCTCATTTACATTTATTTAATGCTTATGGTCATTTGTGACCATTTGAGTGTATTTCAGCATATGGAATCAGGAAATAATAGATTTCAGCTTCATGCTGTGAAGAGAGATTGTGTTTTTACAAGACATAATGTTGTTTACTGGGTGTTAATAATCACTAATTAATAAACATATCTAGACTTCTAAAATGTTGCATTTTGAGGAATAAAAATGTCAAGTGTTTAAAGAATGAAGTACAACAGTATTTTCTATCATCATTTCATAAAATAATTAAGTTATATGAAGCAAAATGTCATTGTTCAATACAGGTCATATCCCAAATGCTTAATACATGGCCTTTGTTTCTATTTTTCTGCTCTCAAAAATGCTATTTCTAAACATATTGTTCTGCCGTGTACCTGGACATATGGTCTATATGTTAGTAATCATATAGGAATCTCCAAGATGAGGGGTTTTATTCTGTCTTAATCTCATACTAATTGTGGTCAGTCTCTTCTCTTTTCACCACTGCAAGAATTTTGTGGGAAGTCTGCTAAAGCACTTGCTAGAAAACAGGTGTATGAGTCAGTCCTTGAAATGCTTTGATCTAGCACTCTGGGAGGCCGAGGCAGGCAGATTGCTCGAGGTCAGGAGTTCAAAACCAGCCTGAGCAAGAGCGAGACCCCGTCTTACTATAAATAGAAAGAAATTAATTGGCCAAATAATATATATAGAAAAAATTAGCCGGGCCTGGTGATGCATGCCTGTAGTCCCAGCTACTCGGGAGGCTGAGGCAGAAGGATTGCTTGAGCCCAGCAGTTTGAGGTTGCTGTGAGCTAGGCTGACGCCACGGCTCTCACTCTAGCCTGGGCAACAAAGCGAGACTCTGTCTCAAAAAAAAAAAGATATGCTTTGATCTTATATTAAGGAGCTACCTGACCACTTAACTGTTAAGAAGCTCAGAGAAACTGCCAACCAGTGATGTCATAATCAGCATTCCCCTCCATCCGCCGCTTTCCTACCCATAAGCAGTATAATGTGATGAAAGTATTAGTTCCATGAGAGAAGAAATAAAAGGAAACCATTCACAAAAGAACTAAGATATAGTTCAATATTCTTTTTTAGTGTCTTAATGCATATGCAGAATTTTTCCTCCAAATTGGAGGTGTGGAATAACAGTAGCGACAGATAACTAAGAGGTATTTACCATAGCTACAAAGCCCACACGTGAGCCAAATATTTCTGCTATTAAAAAGCACTTCAAAGCTTGACATGAAGTTTGTAACAGCATAATGTCTCTTGTGACTTCATTTGCAAAGAAGATATATAAGCTGAAAGGAAAGTAGTGATATGAGAACTATGAGCCTAAGAAATGATGTTTTAAAAAAAGAAATGAGAAGCTGCCCAGAAATTTGACTGGTGCCCAAGCTCTTGTTCCCACTACTCTGACAGTGTTCTCAGTAACTACCAGCATTTTTCTGGCTACCGACTTCTTCCTACCTCTTATACAGGGACAGACTCAGGTTGTGTGGGCCCTGACATTTATTTTGAGGTCCTTTTTAGAAGGATGAATTTGATTATATCTGACTTTAGTAAATTTTACAGGAACTTACGACCATGTGAACACATTACTAAGGCTCCTTGAAGGGCCTTGGGAGGGGCCTTGCAAGTGAGAGGCTCTGACACTGAAGCTTTGTTAGCCTCAAGGTAAATCTGCCCCTGCTTTCATAAAAACCACCTTCCTTGCCTAGAGTAACTCTCTTCCCTTATATGCCAAACTGTCTTGCTGCCTCTGATCCATTTTAATCCCAGTCTGATTGTTGCTAAATATGAAAAATATGCTTGTGAAAGCCTGGAGGTCTTAGCCCTGGTGGGATCTAGGATCCATATATTAATACATGAAGCATTATCTTCATTACATCTCAACGATCTTAATGCAATCATTTGGTGTGTATTTGTCCATCCATGCAGTCATCCATTCATTTAGCAAATATGTCCTAAGTACTCTACCTTTGGGAATATAAATAAGGGGTTATTGAGAGTAATTCTTGAACAAAAGAAAACTATGCTTCTAAATATAGCTAGAGATTGATGAAAGAGCAAGGATATTTACAGCATCTCAATTGTTGGGTTTATGCGAAGCTGTCTTCAAAATTGTAACTGTCTAACAAAGAACCATTTGGTGCTTTTGACATCTACAATATTTCTAGGTCTTCCAGAATTAGTGAATAGTGTCATTCTCTGGTTAATATTAGTTATAAGTTATAATTTTTAAAAAAGATCTATGAATTTTACCCTGCTGTGATATTAAAAGTAAGTTTCACTTAAGAGTTCATCTTTGTGTGAAAGTTGCTAGTGAATTTTAGGCTTCTGACTTTTATTATTCTTTAATAAACTGAATTTTAGTAAACTGTGGAACTTATTTTAAGACTGTTTTATAACCCAAATTTTCCCTTCATGTGGGCCTCCAAGATTGCCTGTTGGTCCCCTTGACCTGCTGCTTTTTAATATTTGTATCTTTTCTAGGCTCAATTTCCTTTAGAAGTTAAATTGAGGATGTGGAAAATGATTATTTAAATGTACAACCCAACCAAGTGGGATCCAGTAGCTGATCTTTCCAGGCCTTCTGCAGTCTGCCCTCCGCTCCTCGTGCCATCAAACCTCCACCTCCTCCTTCAGCCACCCAAGCCTCCTCACTCACCTCCCACATATTTGGTCATTTGGTCTCTCCAGCTCTGGTCTTTGCCAATCTTGTTACCCTTCTCTTTGTCCATCCAAATGCTTCCTTTCAGGATGGCCCAACTACCATCTCCCCCTGCCTTCTCTTTCAGCCCACCCTAATCTTTTCTTTCTTTTAACTTCCATTGGCTTTAGAATAGTACCTCAGTTTAACGTGGCACATTCTCTTATTGTTCAAAGCACGTTGGCTTTGTTTCTGTGTTCATTGGATTGTTCACTTGTTGACAGATATTTTGATCACCTTCTGTTTGCCAAGTACCATTCTAGGCGCTGGAGGTGTAGTGGTGAGCACGACTGAGAACGTCCATGCCTTCTTGGCGTTTACATCCTAGGGAGAAAGATCATTTTCTCGAAGGCAATGATTCTGCTTAATATGTCTTCTTACTCCCCGAAGCAATTAATAGGCTTTATCCTTGGTATATGAAAGCTTTGTATTTGAAAGATTTGTATTTGGAGCACATTTTGAAAGACGTGAATCCATAAGGCTTATAGAACTAAACAGTTTTTAGTGAAAGAAAGTCAAGCTCATGAGACTGCGACATCAGTTTCTTCATCAGATAGCTGACTTTCATTTCAGGACTGGCTTCTTCTCAGGCATGCGCATGTAGTGTCTGTAGACAAACTGACAGTGTGAGTAGGCACTTATCTGTTCTTTGTCAGGTTGAAGAGGAAGGTTAGTAGAAGGTAACTGAGATAAGGAAGCTGAGGGCTCTCTTTAAGAAATTTTCTGATAAAATATACCTGTGAGTGAGTTTTGCTAGAATTACAGTAAAAGAATCTTGAGAACTGCCGAGAATTCTAGAGATGCCACTGTCCTGTTTCCTTCCTTTGCTATCTTGGATATGACAAAGTGAAATTATTATGTGTACTTTCTATTACTAACATAGAACATTGTTGATTTGCTTGACAATTTTATAGAAGGGCTCGTATCACTACTATTTAGTGTTTTGCATTGAAGAAACCAACTCACGTAGGAAAGTTATCCTATGTTTCAGATATTCTGATAGAGTTGCTCTTTTT